TTGTTGACGGTCCTATTGATAATGGTGAAAAAGTAGCTTCTTCTAAGAAGCATACCCAATTTAAGACTAGTGCTAAAACCATACCCTATTTATAACCAAAATGGCCAAAATCGATACCCTATTTATGACCAGAACGGCTGAAAAAACCTTCCCTTTGGGGCCGCACATACCTGTATAGCCCATGTAAGGGAGTACCCGCACGGGACCTGTATATGTAATATGCCCGTCAAATACATATTCTGATTCACATCTGCTTTGAAGATGGACTTTTTACAAGAATTCACAAGGACGAAATGCACAAGTGGTCGGCGATAGACGTTTATACCTGTCTGACGAACAATTATTGAATGAGTTATGTATATTCTTTTTCATGCAGTTGCTGTAACTTAGTTTGGTTTGGTTCTTGCCAGGCCCTCCCCAAATAAACGTATTTGCCAATAAGCTGTGTGTTCATTTGTTGTGAAGTGGAGACAAAATAGTAAATTTAATTGAGATCCAGCGGACTGACCAAAAGGAGCGAGGCCTCTGAGAGCGAAAATATATGAAAGGAGGATATACTGATAGTGCTTTCTTTGTCTCGGATCTACAATTTGTAAGTTTTAGAAGAAAACGAACAGCAAACTCAAACGTGTAACACTGGTTGCACCACGAGCTTCCTGACGAAAAAGTGTTTTGAATTTTGTTTTTCTAAGCTCTGCTACTCGAATGTCTATCTACTATCATAAACCAACTGATAAACACCAACTTTCTTCGACAGGGGAGAAAATCGTATGGATTCCCAGCTATATTTATTAGGATACTTTCGACGAAGGTAACCAGGTAACTTGCTCACACCCCCGTGACACCCCCATTTTGGCCGTTAGAGACCTGGTACCATTACATGAGTCCTATCCTTTCGCAACTTGGTAAGTTGGTAGTCTTTGTTCGCAACGTTTGCCCTTTTAGTGATCTAATTATCGTTGTTGAACCTAACCGTTATTTAAGGTACCGCTTAACTATAGTTTTTTGTCTTCAGGCTCCCCTTTCATCACAAGATTTGTGCATATATCCATCAGGACCCTCGCTGGCCGAAAATGGCGCTGGAACAGGTCTCGAGTGCAAAATGCTTTGGCGGATTCCAGAAGGTTTTCAAGCACAAAAGGTCTGGATTTCTATTTTTTAGCCCAGAAACATGAATTCTAATCACGATTTTTTTTTCATTAATTACGAAGTTGTGTCTGTTTTCCAATCTCTGTGGTATAAAGCCGGCTGGTGAGAGGCCGGGCTCTCTTAGGGGGAGGGGGAAGGGAATGGTAGTCTGAGTTTTGAGTCCTAAAACTAACACTGTACAGTCTCTGTCCTTGTAATGATCTCAATTAATGGAACCTCCTTATTATTACTCGGATTGGCTTCTTTGCTGAGGTAAACTTACAAATTGTGCTTCAGGTGGTGGAGGGCTTGTCTATAGATCAGGTGATAGATGTATAAAAGCTCTGACAGGGGTGTTTGTGATACCTTTTTAAAGTTGAAGATTGTGGTTTGCTTCTGCCCAGGGTGTTTCATTTTTATGTATATAATTTGGTAGCTCAGGATTCCATATTTCTAATGTACGCACTCAAATTAACAAGGAATTAACAAGGAAATTGGATAATCCTGTGTGTAATGTAATTAACATGTAAAGGGACCATATCTTAGTCCAGTATAGAAAATTATTGGATTTAAAAAATTACCCTGACTGCCAAACTGGACTTGCCTATGGCCTTGTCCATTTTTGTCAGTCAAACTAGACAGCACATAGCCTCATTACATGACACAAATTTTCAAAGTAAGCTTGGTGAGCTGCAACTAAATAAGCTCTAGTAGTGAAGAAATAAAATTGATGGTTATTTTTTTTTATCTGGGATAGGGTTCAGATTACCAACCAACATCACGTGGCACCTTGCCAATGTGTTTGGTTTTCCTTAGGAGTACGAATGACCACCGCACTGTGCACTTATGAGTGATAGTGTGTAATTGCTCAGCCAATCAGATTGTAAGATTGCAGCATTTGCAGTATTACAATTCTGATGATGATTCATTTTATAGATGGTATTGAGAGCTGGTCAATCTTTGAAAATGGTTTCAACTTTTCATTTTTGTGAAGTTTCTGAAATAGAAAGTAGATTTTACTTGTTACAATGATTAGTGGGTTTTAACTAAAACAGTTAGATGAGGCTGCTTACTCTTTGTTTCATTCTATTTGGCTTCATTCCTCACTAGCTGTTTATCTCATCTAATCTTTTAATGGTTGACAGATTTGTTTCTTCTTTTTCTCAGTTCAGAACTGAAGTGTGACATGAACTTTGCAGTCTATGTTCCTCCTCAGGCCGAAAAAGAGAAAGTTCCTGTTTTGTATTGGCTGTCAGGTAATTTGACTTCTGGTGAAATGTTTTTTGAATCTTCCATAGGAAACGTCAGAATATACTTTACATTTGATTTTGCTTGATTTCAGGCCTAACATGCACTGAACAAAACTTCATCTCAAAGGCTGGGGCGCAACGTACCGCATCTGAACACGGTGTTCTGATTGTGGCTCCTGACACAAGTCCTCGTAAGTTTCTTAAATTCTGATAAAAAATTAATCACATTTATGCATATATAGCCATAAAGGTCAGAACACACCAGGGGAATAGTCCCTGTGATTAGTCCCTGTCCCTGCAACAAACGGCGGGAACAAGTCCCATTGTGTGAACTGGCCATTTTTGCTTCAAAATCTAGTCACAGGGACCAACTTTGGTACCTGCGACTTGTCCCACGAATTTTTTGGGACAAGTCCCTGTGACCTGTTCCTCAAAATGCTTTGTGTGAACTGTAGGTGGAACAAGTCCCTGCGACCAGTCCCTTCATGTAAACTCTTCAGGGGACTAGTAGCAGGGCCCAGTCCCCTCGTGTGTGCCAAACTTAATTTGGTGTTAGGTCCTTGTACATGTCATACAACTCATTAATATTAATTTGAAATCATCATTAATAATATTATGAAAATCCCTCATACAAGAAATGGTAGATGTTGATATTGGTTCACAGCTTTTTCCAGGTGTTTAATTCTTTTGGGAGTAGCACAAGACATGGGAAGAGAAAAAAACAAGGGAGGTGTTCAGGGTGCAAATGAAAGAACACCCATATATGCATATAACTTTTTAAACAAGTTTAAAGCTATTTCTGAATCAGTATATACTAGATTCTAACATGAGTCCTCGTAAGTTTCTTAAATTCTGATAAAAGATTAATCACATTTATGCATATATAGCCATAAAGGTCAGTACACATGAGGAGACTAGTCCTTGCGATTAGTCCCTGTCCCTGCAACAAACGGCGGGAACAAGTCCCATCATGTGAACTGGCCATTTTTGCTTCAAAATCTAGTCACAGGGACCAACTTTGGTACCTGCGACTAGTCCCATGAATTTCTTGGGACAAGTCCCTGCGACTTGTTCCTCAAAATGCTTTGTGTGAACTGTAGGTGGAACAAGTCCCTGTGACCAGTCCCTTCGTGTAAACTCTTCAGGGGACTAGTTGCAGGGACTAGTCGCAGGGCCCAGTCCCCTCGTGTGTGCCGAACTTAATTTGGTGTTAGCTCCTTGTCATACAATGCATTAATATTAATTTGAAATCATCATTAATAATATTATGAAAATCCCTCGTACAAGAAATGGTAGATGTTGATATTGGTTCACAGCCTTTTCCAGGTGTTTAATTCTTTTGGGAGTAGCACAAGACATGGGAAGAGAAAAAAAACAAGGGAGGTGTTCAGGGTGCAAATAAAAGAACACCTATATATGCATATAACTTTTTAAACAAGTTTAAAGCTATTTCTGAATCAGTATATACTAGATTCTAACATGCCCTCTGATTGGTCAGTTCGACAGTTTTGACAGTTTTGCCAACACTTGAGCACTATTGATGTTGATGAGATATGAGAATGATGATGAGGTAGATGAGATACGTCAGACACCTTTAATGGAGTCACAGTCGCACAGTATTTAAATCCGTTTTAAACATTAGCAGTAGGCTCAAAGATTTCCCACAGGTTGTTTTCCATATGAAGGGGACAAAACAAATTACACTAGAAATTACAGAGGTGTCAAACTCTGAAAGATGGAAGCTCACAGTACATTTGGAAACCATGCAGACCTACAATGTATTCCCCTAATATATTTGAACATTTGCTAGACCAACAGCAAACGGCTCCATTCTTTACTGCTGCTATTACATGGCATAGAGCATAGCAAAATAGTTTGGAACAGTGATACCAAAAGAAAGGGCTCAGCAATGGAACAAATGTCATTAACTGCAGGTGTTGTGTTCTGCGCAAGTTCTGGCATCAATCCCATTTTACTCTGCTTTGATTGATATCTGACAACTGAAAAATATCAAAGTGGTCATGTTATGGGCCCTTTGTAGCTGGTCTTTTAGTGGGTGGAAATGTTCACAGGCAGCCATGCACTTTCACTCACTTTCCCTTACCATACTCTTCCTCTATTTTTTCTCTGCTCTGCAACTAACCAGACTCTTACAATGGGTCATCATTTCATAGCAGGGAGAGTGTCTTAGGCAAGGGTTTTTTGTGTCAAAGGGATCAATTAAATGTAGTTTTGAGCATTAGTGTTCAAGTGGAAGGTATAATTCTGACAAGTTCATTTTTAGCCTAGCATAACTTATCTGTTATTACTGCAGGATCATGTGGTATCGAAGGTGAAGATGACAGCTATGACTTTGGAACTGGTGCAGGGTTTTACCTTGATGCAACAGAGGAGAAGTGGAAGACAAATTACAGAATGTTTTCCTACGTCACAAAAGAGGTTTGTAAAATATCTTCCTGTACAAGCTACAGTCATTTATAGGCGTGTTTTAGTTTCAAGTCCCAGATGGTGTATAATTAATGGTTTTCCTTAACAAACATGTACAAAAAAATCTTGAATTCAGTAGAGTGTGCACAATTTGTTTAAAGCCAAAAGCTAGAACAGATTTTTCTGTGTTTAGCCAGGACATCTTTTTCCATGGAAGGGCTTTTCTTGGATTGAGGAGTCATGCCTTGAAGTTCTTAATATACCTCATTGAAAATGGGATTAATCTGGGAATCTCGCATTAAGTTAGATCTACCAATGGAAGATGGTTGGAAGAGGTTTGCAGTGGATGGCACCATCCCCGAATAATGATAATGATGATGATGACAATGATGATGACGATGACCATAAATATGTTCTTCTAACTTCAAGTGTTAAATTGAAGGGCTTTGGGAGTAGGTTTTGAGTATTCTTTTTTCATGCTCAGAGTTGTTCTCATCTTATACTCTGCAGCTCCCAGCTTTGATTCAGAGTAACTTTCCAGTTCTACCAGACAAGCAGTCAGTTTTTGGCCACAGGTGAACATCTGATCAATAACTTCTCTTTGATCTTGTCTGTGTTGCTGTGTGTATATCATCATGTGCTGTTCATGTTTAGCTGTGTTAAGTTAAACATTGTTCCCTTTTTGTTTTTTCCCCTTAATTTTACCAGCATGGGTGGACATGGAGCTCTAATTTGTTTCCTTAAAAACCCAGGATTTTACAAGGTAGGTAAATTTGTATGTCGCATATAGATAAAATGGTTAATTCATATTTACCAAACAATGA